TATTACCACCTTATGTGGAATCAAAAAGGCTAACAAAATGTACAACTGAAAGAATCAATAGTAATAAATTAGATGTCGGAATACTTACGTACGAGTTGTGAAATTCGATGTGAATATCGAAATCCTGGAAATTCGAAAATATTTTGGTCTCTTTTAAACTGTTTCTACGACCTACTTAGTGTGTGACCAAATCCATTACAGCATCAAAGAGTTTCTTTACAATAAAACTAATTTACGCACACAAATCGAGTTGCTTTTATGAGAATATACACACCATATTATTATGCTAAAACTATAAATGCCAAACCGAAAGGAAGACATATAGCACCCCAGACAACCGAACTAGGTGAAAGAAGTTGCAAATATATTTTGGTGTTTATGAAGTATGGTAGGTTTGGTTACGTGGTGTCATGAAGTGAAGGTAATCTGAGTGAGCCTGAACTACAAGAGGACGCAAAAACGCGTTGACCGTATGAGAAGAAAGAGATCGCGAGATATACACGAAATATGAAATTGGAGAGATCACATTAATCATCGGTCGTAAAGGTAAGGCTGAACTGAAGTGGTGAGTTTTATTTCACAGTGGTGATGGTGGTAGTAGTGACAAGGTGCGAGACGTAAATTACAGCTGTTCTATTTCCACCTGGAGGCGGACAGCAAGCCATGAGTCTGTACGTGACCAGTGAACCTATAATTAACAATCGACAAACTTGATCGCTTCAGAATCAACTTTCTTGCAAGAAATGTGTGTAATTTGCAGAATATTTAAACTTTAAGTGGAGATTCGAAATCGTAAAACCATCCGCAACAAACCTATATACACACCGCACCAAGCCAAGCAAGCGCCAAAATCTGGTGCACAATGTCTAGGAGCAAAGATATATGGTTGAGTAACCCATGTTACTGTTCACCGACTGCATAACTATAAATATTTGACTTCTGTTTGGCTTTATTAACAAAACCTGTGGATAACGTCCGTTCTGTTCGAGGACCAGAGAAATTCGCATATAAATAAGGAAAACCAATCTCCTGACATTGATTTTGTTTTTCAAAATTCCTAAGAATATGCTCTCAGACTATCACTCATAAATGGAAGGGAAAGAGAACTATTGATGTGATCAAAATTTTTTATTTCGTCGAGGTAAACTACCATTACACCAGAACTTAACCTATTGTAAAATAGTGAAAATAGGTTAGGACGTGTAGTTGTAAATAAATCCCCAAAATCAATAGTCCTGTAAGTGTTCAACATTGAATGCTGACCAAGTTAGTTTTGATGGACTCATTTAGCTGAAAGCGCCCAGTCATGAAACCACACCAGATCACGTTTAGGAACGGCGTGCGCAACATCTCTTGCGATCACTAGCCAGATTAGATCAGTCACTCCCAACATATTGATAACCCATCAAATATATCTTCCATCCTCCTCTTTTATGACTTTTGATTTTACTGGGTGGGCGCGATTCAACTATAGGTGTTACTGGTAAGGTGTTCTCAAGTTACAATACCTGTGGTACCACAATGATATACGTGGAAGGGTCTTCACACACAAAACCTTCAAAATGGATCTTACACCATTTTTGTTCGATAGTATCATAGAAGGTAGTCCTCTCATCAATAATCAATCATTTTTAGACACATTTTGATGTTTTAAAAAATTCGGAATCATCCATGACTGGAATGTTATCCATCGTCTAACCCTCAATGAACTGAGGACTAAGCAACTGAGTCTGTGCACTGGAGAGAGTAACGATGGCCACCACATAAATCCTAAAGATCCCCCCCTGAAACCTACTGCTGAATCTCAAGTCAATGACACCTCTATTGTGCCCCAGAATTGCACTAGTAGCACCGACGAAAACCTAAAGAAGCCTAGACAGTTCCTAATAAAAATTGTTCTAGAAGCTTTAGGTGCTAGGTCACTAGGTTGCCAAATACCAAATCGTATGAATAAATTCACAGGCATTTTGTTGCACTCAGTCTACAATACGCATCTGTTCAGAGCAACAGAATGTAACATAACACACACAAACAGAACTGGTGGTACTCAATCATCCATCCTACTCGTCATGCTAGCAGGCTTTTTGGAGTGGAACTCGACAAATATAGGAATCATGGGGACAAAACGCATGGACAAATTACTTTTAGGTTGCTCAAAGTGGCTTAGCTTTTGGTAGAAAATAATATGTGAAACTTCTGATACTATGGCCCAAGAATGACGTCATCTCATGAGTGTTTAAAGTTACTTGAAGTTACTTGGCTTTTGATAGTGAACTCGCCTGAGATAGTCCTGAGCAATCTTCAATCATGGTTTTGGAAGTTATTTTCTTCGAGGGGATTAGGATTCATGAGAGCTGACTGAAACACCAGACGGCAGCACAGAAATTTAGTGTGAGGCTCATCAACAAGCTTGCAACTGATAAGTGTATGATTCAGTGGAGAAGCTTGGACTTAGTGCTAAATTAAAAAACTCCTGATAGTCGAAATGTCAGTGTAATAAAACAAATAATACAAACAAACACCATTGCTCTGAATGACACAAATAAGCCAGATCATTTAGGAACTATCATGGGACTTGAAAATATGTCCTCCGATGTGACTCACCATTCCCAAGCAAAGCTCTGAAATTGCACCTCCCTTGCTTTTTATAAATTGGCTTCTGAGTGTTACCATAACAAATCAGTGAGCACAAAGAACTTCCAAGTTTAGAGGCTGTTTACAAATATTGGCTTATGAAAGATGACAAAAACATCAGTTACTCTACTGAAGAATTCCGACAGATTCGTAAAAACCGAATTAAAACAGAAGGTAGGGAGGTTGTGCTTTGCGTTTACAGTTGTCACAGAGCCCCTGAAATTTTATCTTCCGAGAAATGTTACTGAGACGTCTTGCGGACAGCGCGGAGAGTTTTTGTGTCTATCGTCTGGTAAACACAATTTGAAGGACACCTATAAACTCTGCTCTTTTGGTCTTTTCACTTGTTGAAGCCATCGGAGAAGTAGTAACACTTATTTCTAATCATATAATCCTTGAAGATGAACATACAATGACCGAGAAAATTTACATTATTCTTTAAATATTTTTTGAGGGTCAGGAAAGTCAACGCAGGAATACTTCGTCAAGACGGGATGGTTCAGTCATACCGGAATGGTTACTCTACATGAACTGTCGGCCTTCATATGAAATATATTTTTCCACTTCAAGCCCACATATGTTTCTGAAAGGTTATTACATGCATTACTGACCATCATAATAGGACTATGATGTGGCATCAAATAAGACCATACAAATTATGCCATGACAACTTCACAGCGTTGGATTCGGTCTACCGTTTCAGTAGCATCGATGGGTGCATTTAAACTGGTCTAGGTCTATATTCTAAAAAAAATGAATTTCTCCCATCCATTAATGATGGATGATCTTACTATAGATTAACCCTTCTCTCTAGGTGATGATTTGAAATTAGTTGTTGACTTCAAGGACTTGTTTACTACGTTGTAAGGACGCGCCTCCGAAAGACAACTTGATGGAAGTGACAGACTCCATTGACGTGATTGATTAGTGGAATTTTAAAGAGGTTAGCCCTCCTAAATCTGTTTACCGACACGTCCATTTTGCCTGTCAGATGCTAAATTTCTCAGGCCCTCCTGGCTAAAGCCAAGTACAACAACTTATCGTGGTTAAGGTCATCTTTTTGGAACAAATGGCACCGAGACTGAACACACTGTTGGGCATTATGTATCGAATGTGTTCAATTTAAATAAGATAGCTTTTCTGTTCCATTTGATAAGGTCTATGTAAGTAATACTGGGCGTTCATATAACTTCAGTTACATAAGGAGAAATATTCTGTATCAGGATTCCTTAGCAGTGAATAAGTAGCACAACAAGGTTTCTAAGCTACTAGTTAGGCAGTTCCAATCCAGTCACCCCTATTCTGTTTATTCTTCGTAAAATGACTCCTAAGTCATACTTTCTCATGGAGGTGTAAGTATGGTTAAGTTTAAACCACTGGAGTTCAAACAAATACCGAATCACCTTTATTCACATAAATCTTCTATATCACATGGGATCCAACCTAAAGTCAAGAGGAAATGTACAGAGCTGATTTTAGTCTCTGCCGTCACCCTCTGTGAGCTCTTTTTAAAAAAAGTAGACTACATTCCTACTACAATAAGGCTTAACCATATCTGCATAAAATATTAAGTTAGGAATACATTTTTCTGCTTAGTCATGGAAGTCACTGGAAAGGTTAGTTACTAAGTCCCTGCTAAGTAATTATTAAAAATTCCAAGCTTTTCAAGTCCTAACATGGTCTCCCTGCAGACAAACCATGTATTACTAATCTATTGGCTACCAATGAAAACGGTGCTGTCCCAATCAAACACAGCCTGACATTCCCTACAGGCCTCTCAGATCGTCTGTAATAACTCATTATAGCCGTTCATCATATTCTCCACCCAAAGTTGACCTCAAACGGTACTGGTGAGGTTTTGAAATAGTGACTCTAGGACCATATACTTCGCCACTGAAAAGGATTCAAACATCACAATCGAATTCCATAAGCTTCATCGCATGAAGTTTAGATGTATTTGAACAGACCAATATCATCTTTGTTCACAATTACATCTGAAAGCTGCTTTCTTTAGACATGTTCAAATAAAAACACAAAATATCTAACGCCAAACTTCATGAAATGTTCTATTGGTTAGGATCAGTAGGTTACAAAACCCTCTAAAAAAACTTTAGTACTGACACTGAATCTTTCTAAATAGTACTTGACGCTCATTTTGGCTCTGTAAGAACTGAGGGGATTAGACTAGTAACCAATGGTCGAATAATTTTACTGAATACTTTGTATTTCGTCACCATTTCTGGCAAACGATTACAAAAATCATATCTTTCCGGGGTAAATAACGTAAAAATACTACCTACACGCAGGTCTTAAAAAACAAATAGTTCGTTAACGTTGCATTACAAAAATTCAAGTGGAAATTCACCACTTTCATGAGCATTAGTATAACAGAGGGAGATTTGACTTTCAAGGTCGCCTTATGTGATCTCAATCAGAAGCATTTACTTGTCATCGTCAATGAGTATGATTTTCTCCCTGCACGAAAAGTCTATAAGTGGAATCTAAAACACCTTATTATTCTTACTATTTAACAATTGGTTCAGCTGTATGGATATTGCTTCTCTCCTTGAATGGAAACTTAACTGTTCCGAACAATCTTTTAGCACCGTATATAATCTATCTAGGTGTTATTCAAAAAGGTACTTTACTTGATCCTTGTCACTTCACTTCAGGGGAAATAAATGTGTATGTGCCAAATTTGAGGTTCAAGTTAATAACAGAGAAACTGTCAGAACCTATGACGTTGATCCTGACAGCGCACTTATTAGGGAAGTAGAAGAAGCTCTTGAAAAAGCAAATTTAACTCTTTCTCCACTGAAAACAAAGAAGGAACCTATATTCGTAGACAGGTGTAGCAAGATTATCCCGAAAATGTGTCGCGAAAACATTTGTATAAAGAAGTCGAAATCTGACAACAGCGCGACTATGACAAAGCAGCAGAAATATATTCCTGCCCATTATAAAGCTCCTTATAAGACGGATATACATCCGTCAAAGCGGTAACTATACAATATGTAGTTTCACCTCAAGCATTTAGTAAGAAGTTACTTACATTAGGTCAGCCAGTGACATCATTTCTACCAACGAAGGACAGCAGAAATATAAATGACATAACCTTAAAGAAGGTCAACAAAATCAGTATCAAACAGGAAAACCACACACAAGTGAATTTTTTTGAAGATATGTAGGTTCTAATACAAACCTAATTGTAACAGAAAATTATTATGCTATCCAGCTTCTATATGTAACTGCTACCACTATCAGACCCACCAGCAGGCTGTTTTAGTCGAAAAATTTAATAAAAGTGTTTTACGCTTGTGGCTCTCGCTCTTACATAGCAGGCAGATATCAAGATCGGAAGATAAAAGTATCATGGTTCAGTTTTTTAAAAACGTGAGTATCCCAGTTGGACATGCCTATAATTTTTTACAGCCTACATAACCATGAATTAAACGGATGTGTGGGAAAATGTTCAAGGTGCTTCTTGTGACTTGGTAGTAATTCTAATTGAACTCCTTTTGATTCGTCTTTTCAGATTCTCGCTTGCCTTGTAGGATCACTTGTCTGTCGAGTGGTTGGTATCTTAGAAGTGTGTGGATAGGTATCTCATGTGTTTGTTTCCTAAGCATTTGGCCACCATTTAAACCGATTACTTTGCCGAATCCGGTTTGATAGAAAGTTTAGTTAACATTGGGCTTTGACGTTCCATGTTACGACCACCCACAAGTGGTCTATTATATTTACTCATACGTGCTGTTTAATCTCAACAACCTGGTAATTAATATATACAAGATGTGTCTGACTTTGAAAAACAGGCTGATCAGCCTTAGACATTTCTAATCTGGTTTTAAAAATTTGTCTACCTAGTTAAATGAGGCGGTGCCTTTTCCACCTATTTCGTGGATATACGTATTTGAAGAATAATTTTAAAAGATAATTGTTCGCCGTGGTATAAAAACCTAGATTTTTCAAACGAACTTATTTACCTTGTGCAACTGTATATTTCTTACTGATTGTGGATTAATGTGTCATAACATGGAAGCTAACAACATTTAGTGTGTAGTGATGGTAAAGTGATTTAGTACTTATCTTCCAACCGTAAGGTCTTAGGTCTGTAACCCACTTCATCTACCTTAATTTGAACAGATGATTAGTATCAATAGTCCTCAAATCAAAATAAATTGACATATATTTGGTGAGTTATTATTTTACTCATGGTCACTGTAATAATTTTAGATTGTAAGTTTTGGCAAAAAATATTCCAATCGGTCTAAGGATACTCCCATCTTTTTAATATCTAGTAGGCTTAAGGACATCTGCACCACATTTTTACAATACAAACCGCGAGTTTTGGGAGGACGTTATTTCTTCTTTATTTCTTGGATTTATGATTTTAACAACGGAATCCGTCATAGAGTGGGAAAACTAAAATTTAGATCACTGGCGTCATAGTAAAGTGTAATGGTCCATCCGCAATAAATGTGTCAATATATTTTTCTTGGCTTTCTACACAACGTAGATTATGTAATGTCCCACAGTTATTGCAAGTTTAATTTATATTTATGATTTCAACATAATGTGATACCAATGAATTTTCTGAACGCCGTCGTTTTACGCTCTGCTTTTTAATATTTTCCTCAGATCCCCATAGAATCCAAACTGTTTTCTAGTATGTACTTATCTGTTCAAAAGTGTGACCTTGCCGTCGCTTTGTTCAAAAAATTCACTGGTCTTTTACAGTTCATTGGTGAGTATCCTCTATCACAGCTAAATTGATATATTTCAGCTGTTAAAATTTTATTTTACCAAATTTTGAAGATGTGGTTGTATCACTCATTGTTTTTTTCGTAACATGTAAAACTACTTAGTTTCAATGATTTATATTTTATAAAACCGTTAGTAATCAGTTCGATATGCGGTTCTTTCCCTCACGGTACAACTGAGCCATGATCGTTTGGCCAATACACATACAATTAAGTCTTAAAGGTTTCTCACAAATGAATCAGGACTTGTAAGCTCTCTAAGCTTAATGCAACTGTGGTTGTTGATAAGACAATCATCTTATGCAAAACGAACCCGAAAACGTATCTTAAATTTGACTAGAATATTTATCTAACAACATTTCATAAAGTTGTTAAGTTGTGTCAGAAAAATTAAAATGGTTTTAGTCACCGGTTGAAGCAAAGGGTGATAGTGCAAATAAATTTCAAGAGGATCATTTTCGCCGGTTTACCGTTTTTACTTTTTCTTGAGAATCGGATTTTTTACTGTTATATATTCTATCTCATATGCTCCATACCTTTCATTGTACTACTACATAAAATTGTGAGTCGACTCATTCAATGTTGATACATCAGTCTTAACGAAGTCCATCTTAATGCTCGTACTTAGATAAACGACATTTCTGCCCTTCACAAAGTTTTCCTTATCTAATTTAAAACAACTTTTACGTGAATTGAATTTATTTAAAGAAGATGTAAACCGTTAGATGGAGGTTTTTAAATTTACTTCTTTGTCCCAGCTGCTTTGATGTAAGCTAGTTGTGCTTCAGTTAACCTCTTCAAATAGAGTTACGTAGTTTGTTTTTTTATATATAGTATTTGTAAACCTTTGCGAATATAAAATTCAGCAGTCAATGACTCTGCTTCACGGGCGAATGGATTTATACTCAGTTTTCCAGGGGCACTACTAGTCTCAATATCATTCAAAAGTGGATGGTCACACTCACACTGTTGATAAAAAAATATCGGTTAATACCAGAGAAATTTTGTATAAAACCAACAATAATAAAAGTTTTCTTTATTTCGCTTAGTCAATAACAGAATTGTACACAAAAAGCAATACTGAAACTTCTATACCGTGGTCACTCCAGTTAATAATACCAAACTATCCAAATGAATGTTTAAAAAATAGACTGGTTGTCAATATAATGTAGCTATTATGTTACTCGCGGAGCTTTAGTAAGGAGCAAAAGATCAATTATTGTAGCGATATGAAACAATTAAACTCACATTTCACTATAATTGAATAACCATTACAGCAAAAAAGATTAACTGTCCCTACCATCAATCAATTACTAAATACACACAATGTATTTAGTTACTTTATTCCACACTTCCATAGGGACGTATAGAATCTGCTTGCCACAGCGAAAAATGTGTTGGCGACATTTTTTGTATCAACCTTATAAATTAAAGTTTAGAACGCATGAGTCATCAACCAACAATGTGAAACACATGCTTTGTTACCATCATTAGTCCGATAGCCGTATTTGAGTTGTTTTTAAAAAAATGTAGTGATATATAAATTTTTATGCTTCAACAGAAAAATGTCAAGAGATAACCAATTCAGTTTTTCAAATCTTAATGTTATAAATTTCCTCGGGTATCCATTTTTTCATGAGATGCTTTTCGAAAATAACCGATTCCTCACTTATTTTGCCATCTGAGGATAAAATCCTAGCTATATTAAATATCATTCTGACTAGACACCTTTTGTTACTGATAGGACAAAGCTGTTCAAATACTGTCCTATTCATGTTTCCTTCCTATATATGCTTTTCTCAAGATGTCCATCATGTTTCCATCTTACACTACGATCTAAAAAACTGAACTCGTTATCTCTTTCATATTCCATTGTAAGTGTTATTTTGGGAGTTTTTGGAGTGAATAAGTGACCGAGAAGCGTGGTTCGTGTCATCATAGATAATGAACGTATAATCAACATAACTTGTGTATGTTTTTGTGATGTTTAAGAGTATTTGAAATATAGTACAAACTAGTAATCCCACCAATAACGCAATTTAATGAAGAAGTATTAAATGAACACGAGCGAATGTACTGTATTTGGAATTTAAAATCAAAACAGTCATCAATACAAAGGAGTCATTGGTACAGTCAGTGATCTTGAGTGCTGTTAGAGGTATGAGGGCGATTATCACTTCCTGGTTGCCCACACCGTGGAAGGGTTCTTCTAGAGGTGCCTGAAAAGAAAATTGGATTAGAAGTGGTCTTAATGACCTGAGAGCGTGATCGCAGTGCCCAAGGGACAACTGCTTGAGGTCGTTCACAACGACCTTTTTGTGGGTAATTTTTGTGTTAGCTCCGTAATTGTTGGGACGTTACCGCCGGAGACGGATATCCGTGGGATAAGGCGAGGTGTGCATTTTTAGGGTCGACCTTTTCTAACCCCACCCCTCTTTGTGGGAAGACAGCATCGCTGTTATGCTGGTTGTCTGAAGGAAACACCTTACTGCCGTCACACCTCTGTAAAGTCAGCAGTACGACTTCGACTCCAGACCTTAGATTTGCTGCTTTTAGTCTTACCACTCTTCAACCGACCTGTCTGGCATGGTAGGACCTTGAGGAACTATTATTCCAGCTAGTATAGCTTGATTGGTTCATCACGACAGGCAAGCCCGACCACCACGTCAAGGTAGCACTAACGGTCGGTAGTCATTAGTTTATTCATACATCACATCCGTCACAGCTTAAATTGGAGTGTAATTTTCTGTAATCGATTGCACGTGTTCTTAAGTGTTCATATTACGTCTGTCCGACAGTGTATTGGATGTAGATTCTGTATTATCTGATTCCTGGAGTTGTATACAATCATCATGTCGGTTGTGTAGTGAAACCACTGATATCTAGAATTTGCATCATAGACTTTCCAACACTATCGTTCTCTACGAAATAATGTTGGGTCCTTACGTCACAATGTTATAACCAATTTGACGTTCCCAATTTGCATTATCTTATATCTCACACTTCGATTAGTATATGTATTTGGGGATACACACTAACACGTAATTTGAGGCATTCCATCAATTGACGTTGACTTGCATAAAAATTATGATGCATATTCTTTTTGTTATTCATATTAAAATACACGGATAGATGTGCATTAGTATGTGCAATTAACACATGTAATTCATCTATGCTTGATTCACCTGCGAAACAATCAAATGGAAAACATGCATCTGCCTAATACTCATTAGGATAATCTTGGACTTCATTCGGATTCTCTGTCTGGGAAAACTGGTTCTTTGATTGCTTCAGGAAAACTTGCTATTCCCTCTGATCCATCATACCACTGACTAGGGATTCTATTCGACATACATTGTTCTTAAAAATATCCAACATCTGATACAATAACACCACAAATATGTCTAGAATTCGACTCATTCGGAACATATTTGTCACATTCATTACTGATATCTCTAGAGAGAAATCCATTATGAGGACCGCTGACATTAGATATGACATCAGAATTCGATTCCTCTGAAATATTTTCTTCAAATTTACTAAGAATTTCATTAAAGAATAATGGATCATTAGAGATATTAGCATCTACCGAAACCACATCAGGTTTTCCATCATGATCCGATTCACTTAACATATTTTCCTCAGATTTGTAAGAAATCCCATCGGAAATATATAAATCATTATGACAAACCACATCTGTGACAATAGCACGAGAAATCTGACAAGAAGTTGGTTGATTAGAAACATTTTTCTCACAGTGATTCTGGGTTTCATTCAACTTTGTACTGCCATGTGACGTTATACTGCTACTAAAAGTCTTGGATAAAGATGAGTGACCATTAGAAGCATCCAACTTAGTAGAATCACAAATTTTGGCATTAGTTTCAGCGAAATGAACCATGGTATTACAAACTGACTGAATGTGTCCAGTTTTACCACATTTAAAGCATTTAGAACTACAAAATACACATGAATTACGTGGGTGAAACTTACCACAGAAAAAGAATTTATCAAACTTGTGCTCATCTTCGTGAACTGTTTCACAACTCAATGGATTGTTGTCTGATTAACGTTGATTACGTATTGGACTGGGACGACGTAGTAAAGTAGTGAAACTCCTGATGTTCTGGCGAGTCATTTCATCGAATTTTTCTCCCTTACCGCATTCGAAATTTGTATACTTTACATGGTCCAGCAGTAGTTGCTTGAGAGTTGCATAAGGGAGTGAAATCGGCTTGTCTGGAAATGCCAATGTCTTTACTAAGCTGCATACTTCTTTTCCGATGAACCTAAGGTAATGAGCCACAATATTAGCATTCTCAATATCTTCCTCGGTCATAGCTCAGATTTCAAACCTTTCAATGTAATCCTCAAAAGCATTAAAATCTGAATGTATATCCAACCAATCCAATACAGACTCCATCAATAACTCCACCAATAACGCAATTTAATGAAGAAGTATTAGATGAGCACAAATGAATGTACTGTATTTGGAATTCAAAATCAAAACAGTCATCAATACAAAGGAGTCATTTGTTCATTCAAACACCACATTTTTCTATGGATTCACGGTTTTAGTTTCGTTTGTTCTAGTTTAGCCATCAATATATCGGCCAAGACATGCCCTAGTAGTGATCCCATGGCCTGCATGTACTTATTAAGGACAGAGAGAAGGTTCTTTGCAAGGCTTTCTAAACACATTCCAAGGAACCTACGGCTAAAAGGCAGTAAAGTCTTCACAAATGCAATTGCCAGACATCTCGATAGTGGACATGAAGTGAACGTAAGTGATGCATTCAAAATAATCAACGGACGGAAAATGCCTATCTCACTCTGTTTTGCAGAGGCGATCGCTATCAAATGTTCCCGACCTGACCTATGTATACAGAGGTAAAGTTTGACCAGCCTTTCCCTACCATGGTGATTGGATATTAGTCTTGTAACTTTCGTTAACTTTATTTTCTTTCAATCCTATCCCCAACCTTTTCATTATTTTTTCGTCTCCTGATATTCATCTCTTACATAATCTGATGGATTTTTACATAAATTGTTTATTTTATCATGTTCTGCGACTACCTAATCAATTATTAGTTTCATTACCTTTACATAACCTCTTAATTATTATACTTCCCAAAGTATAAACACACGTCATCCCTGTGCTTATTCACACACTTTGTATTCCTATTCTTATTAATACGATTTTGGTTACGCTTTGAACACTTATCTAAACTTTACGAACTAAAGTATGCTAAACATTTGTTAATAATTATACTTATATTAGTAACTGTAATTCTAGGTTGTATGCAGTTAATGAAAAACCTTCAAGAAGAATGAACTCATTTTACTCTGCAAGCCTTGTTCTTGCTCTGTCAACGAATGTTTATTGATTTTCTCACGAGTTCTAATATCTAGTTATCTTTTGATTGCTAATTTGTATTTAGATGTACAAAAAGCCAGTCAAGATGAAATTAATTGGATTAAGTACGTTTTTTCAAGATTCAGCCTCATTTTGAAACTATTGGAATTACTGCTGACAAAGGTGAACCATGGATCAAGCGACTTGTCAACTTCGAATGTCCTCTACGATCCTCTCACTCATAATGATCCCATAAGTGCTTGGTTTGCTTCAAAACATTCTGCTAAACTAGTTGATCCTCCAAGTCCATATGAAGCGTATCTGACCATAGGTAAGAAAGTGACTGCTTTCACATCCGAATTGCGTTTCTTATACCTATGATTCTACTTAAAGTAAGGAAAAGTTGGCAGGCGTTTCCTCGAAACTTGCATTATCAGGTTTGTAATGACTGTATAATTTATACATGTAATCAATCATACGATTGTAGGACGGGAATTATGAAAACACATTTGTCAAACTTAAGCTTTCATAGCTCCTAGTTAGAAAAAATATAGGATCTATGGGTAAATCATCATATTTAATCTTGTCAGGTTGAAGCCAGCTGTGATCTTACAAGTACAAATGCTGTTACTAGTTGACCTCTTTTCTATATACTAAAGATTGCCCATTCATATACTGTAATTGAAACGTACTCATTTCCGCAGCAACTGATCATTTAGCAACCAACTGTTCCATCCCATGTTTTAATACTGTGCATTACATATATGTATGCAGTAAATAAGATCAGTTGATCGCAACATTCCAATATAAAACGGATACATTAACTCCGCATATAATACATTACATTATATTTTCTAACTCCTTTGTAAACCTAAGGTGTAAGTTTAACGTCCAAATTTATTCTCATAAGTCTAATATAGACAGGTACTTATTCTAATTGCTGATATTTCGTCAATTATCATGACATTTAATTTAAAATAGTAAGTGTCCAAATGAATTTTTGAGATAATCAAAGACCCAATGGTGTACATGGGCTCCAGGATCCCAATGGAACAAATGGCGCATGAGTCTATTGTTAGTCACCGGCTACCATGAGACTGCATCCCTTAATGTTGCTTCACTCCCTTGTGGGTTAGACCTTTAGGTCGAAGGCTCGGGTAGTGGCTCCCTAAGAAAACCGCCTGTCTCGGTTTCGGCAGCCGGACAGTATCCCAGCCCTCACGTGAATCGGGTGATTTATGTGACGCATATCTATTCGGTACCTCCTTGTACCAATGTTCATGTGTTTAAATAAATAAGTAAAATCAAAGACCCAGTTACTCGAATTAACGATGATGCTCTGAATGTTGAGAGCTGTACAAAATGAATGAATGTAAATTATGTGATTGAAACACTACTGATACTAAAAAATCTTACCAGAATATGGTTAGACAAGAAAAGTTCAGTAGCCTTATTCGCTCGACTTAAATGAAATAACAGAGTCCCAGTTCCTAGGACTAGTGATAATTCTTATGGTTTTGCTGATTCAAGTAAATGTTCGTTTTCTAACATATACCTAATGATTTTCATCATTTTTATATACCGAAGGCAACTGTCCTAGTACTCCAGGAGCATTTTCCCGTCTATTAGCGTTAACGGCATGGCCTCAAATGTGTGTATTCAACGGCAGTGCGAAACAAGCATTATTGTTTACGAACCTTTGGAGTGAGCTTGAATCTGTTCAAATAGAACTCGAACTTTTAAACACTTTTAAAGCAAACCTACCTAATTTGCTTGCGGACCACCTGTTCACGAAAACGATGTAAGTCTGTTATTGTTTGGTAAGGAAGTGTGTTTGCAGTATATATCATGTCACCAATAATAATAACAAAGTAGTTCTCATATTAATTACAATTTTAACTTGGTTACTAGTTAAACATTTCATAGCAAATAGTGTCGTCGGTTTTTTGCTATTCTCTTTTTACGAATAATAATACTGGAATTTAAAGAGATACCACTAGTAGGTTAATCTATCAGTCTCTTTTGCTGTTAATTAAATAAATTGATTTTGTGATACAACTATGACTTTAAATACCCTCCTTTGACAAAAATAGTATTTATAAACCAAGTATTTTATGCATCACCTGAATCTGCAAATAGCACTTTTTCACCACTGAAACTAGTCAATAATATGCATGTATGTTATCACCAACGAAGCCACGCTTTCCATATGCCTAATCTGTTTTATGTCTTGTCCAATTAAATCAACAAAATACAGACAGTACTCCTGAAATTTTAAGTGTATTCATGACACCGCATACCAATGTGCTCACGCAACACTCACTTGTTTTACTGCTTTTCTATGCATCAGCTAAGAATACTTTAAAAGGATGGTATTATATAGAAAAATTTCATGTTTAAAGTTTTATTTAACTAAATTACAAGCATTCATCTAAAGTTCCCAAGGTGTGTAATTTAAAAATTACGTTAACTCATTACTTGTTAAATCATATAAATTAACAGTTTTTTTAAACAGATGAAATAAACTTTTCGAAGTTTCGCTGTACTATGTCTTCAAAACAGATTATTATTTTAGATAAATAATAAAGGTCTAAGATACGCTTATATTGCTAACGATTGCACTTGATTCCAAAGCAATTTGTATGAATTTCTTCTAAATAATTAATTACTTCGTAAATAAAATACACCTGAGTACTACCGAAATGTGATTATTATTTTCGTTCGTTTCGTCCCGAAACACTGCAAATGGATAAGTTCTTGTAAATTGAGTTAATATGCTATTCAATAATTTATATCGTTTTTTGTCTATTGACAAATCTTTTTAATGTAAAATATTAGCGACCCGTTGTTTAAATGTGCACGATTGTTACTTTTTAGGAACTGTAAAGAATTACAACACTAATTTGTTTGTATCGAAGCAATGGTTTGTTGTCGTGTGTGTACACTGTTACATTAATTTATATTCTAGAGTGGTTTGTGTTTTTCACGAACACTTAATAAGCATATTGATGTACCAAACGTTGGTAAAGATTTTGTAAGTTGTAGTCATCTTAAATCATTGGTTAAAAAGGTTTCAAGGACTATCACTAACCTACTTTTTATACTATGAATTTGATCAAAGTGAGAAAAGTCAAATAGTATTATTATTATTAAAATAATAAACCTCTTCTATTACTCTTTTTCCAGCAATCATGCCTCGGCTTTCCGTAATTTATACACACTCGTTTGTGGAAACAGTCCATCAATTTTGAAAAGCAACGTATAAATAACATTCTACACATTTCCATATCTTGTATATATCATATCTACTATAGAAACGGATTTGCAAACATGTACAAACCTTTTTAGTTGTTATGTTCATTCTTGAAATTTGCAACGACGTAGTCAGAAAATATTTTTTAAGTAAAAATAAAAAAAACTATCAAACTACATAGCTTTCCAAATGTTTACTTCTATTATACAATCTTAAAGCAAAAGTTAATCATTTTTATTGACCTTGTGTTGTACATTAATATTCTATATTTGAATATATCTGTTGAGTAGTGGTTCTTGACATATCTTTAGTTTTTATTTGAGCATTTCATGTTAATACATTGTTCCAAATATCACCATTTCAGTAGATAGTATTAAGTTTATAGAAATCAAACAATCAGATCATTGAATTGCTATAAAAACAACATGTTTATATAAATTATATCTTGGGAAATAAAAAAAGAGCTTTATCATAATAATTATATGAATAACGGAATACGTTATTAAATAAAATCTTTTTCACCAGGATCATCATGATATCGAATTGTAAAAAATTTGTAAAGAAAAGAAAAACAGATTTTTAGACATAAATTAAAAATAAAACAATATGGTTAGTTGTTGGTTGTTCGAAACAATAAAAAAATGTTCAGAAAAATTAGCTTTCTTGATAATCTTTTTAAAAATATGAATACAAAATAAATGTTCATAGGGACATAGGACATTTTAAATTCACAATATATAGATTCCCTTTTCTTAATCCACTAAATTTAGTGTGCGAAGTAATGTACTGGAATATCACGGAAATGTTAACTTGCTGTTTGAAACATATGGACGAAAAATATTCTTTTTAATAAATTACCATCAGGTTCTACAGAAATCAGTTTATATTGGTGATTCGAAAGAATATTTATATGTAAGGCAAATATTAAATCCCTATTCTATAATTTCTTGATATGTATTTACCCTTAAACAATAGTTTAGACTAATTGTAGAACCATATGTTAGAAAGAATGATTTCCTTTTTGATAATTACTCTGTTGTTATATGATGAGCAGTGCTTGTTTATACCGAATCTTGTAAGGAGCTGTAGACGGGTTTTAATGTTTTTATCATTTATTTCGTTTGGTTTTCTTCTTAGATATAACCTTGTTTATATGAGAATATTTTTTTGAGTCTTTTCGAGACATGGTTACTTGATTGCGACATCCCTTCCCACCTTCCCAATGTGAAGATCGAGTCCCTGATAGCATCTTGTCACATCTTACACACGGTTTGTTAGTAGAAAATGGTTGTTCTTTAGAACAAAATCCACAAATCATACGAGTAGCCAGTTCCATTTCGTGTCCATCAACAGCAGAATTATCATGACAGACATCACATGGTTCCAGACGTCCGCAACAGGGAAACCTTTCAGAAGTAAAACAAAATTAAGTGAATATTGTTGTTACGTTTATTATTCACTGTATACATTTTTATACTCTCAAGACAAAATAATAAAGCATGTGAACGTTATAAATTTTTTAAGTTGTTAGTATTCGTTTCAAACGTAAACTGTCAGGTCCTCTATATATAGCGCATTACTTTTCAAATGTCAAGCTGTTTATCAAGTCTAGCGAACCAAACATGTTTATAACACTGCGTAGGTTTCTGATTTCAGACAAACGGATGCTAATTGTTATCCTATAAATGCCACATAGGATATTCTTTGGATGTATGAGACATTGAAAGGTTTTTAACTAAATTAACTTTTTAAGCTTATTCCTAAATGCTTAATGACAATTAATTCAAGGTGATAGATGCATACACTGTTTGTCCATCAGTGTAACTTCCGAAAAAAAAGAATGGAGAAAGGTTGACGAACGAAATTTTTTAGCCCGTAGTATGCATAAAAATCTAGGTTGTTGAGAATGCTTGACACTAGCAAATATTGACTGAATGCATGTTAGACTTACCTCAGCCATCGATAGCTTTTGCGATAGTGTTTACAGCTGCCAAAGGCTGGCAAAGGTGATCCATCCTGGATAAGGGTGTTTTGAGCCGAATTCATTGTACGTCGCATTCTTCGGGAAATTTGAGACGAGTCTTGATTTGTGCCATCTATTTTCACACCCTTGGCTAACAATAATTTATGAAAATAAACAGTAGGGGGTTTGGAATAAACAATAACAAAGAACACTGACATTACAGAAGCTTTTGAGTAGAGCGCCTATTTTGCCTCTTTTTGGTCACCCAAGTACTACGTCTACTGCCGTGACGGAAGTAATGTCACAAACATAACGTGGATGGCTCTAAGTGTTTATGGAGTCACAGGTTTGATTTGAACAGATGTGCTTTGGTTTTTCTAATTTACTTTAAATAATTGCTTCTACGAATTAGTTATGTAAGAATCCTGATACATGTTTTGGTAGGAAGTATGACGTATGTTACTTTTTGCAGCCGTCAGTTGCTCCTTATACCAGTTGGCAATGACTTTGTGACAAGGCGTCAAGCGAGAAAATCTTGCAGCCTCGATAGTATCCATTAAAACATCAACTGCCAGAACACATTTTTAGAGAAATATACGCAACACTGATGATTCAAAACCAAAGCCAGTGGTAATTGTGTTCAGGTTTTCCTTAGTGTTTGAATAAAGCCGGAACAAACATTGATGCAGAATAATTTGGATTCATTATATTTTGTGGTTTTTCATCAGCTGCTTACAACCATATATACTTTGAAAGTTAACATTGAGGTAAGATATAATGTGGAACAATTGACACAAATGAACGAAAAGAATTAGAATGACAAAGGTTACCGACAGATTAGAGGTCATTTGGTGTTGGAATTCAAAAACATTTATTAAATGAGGTCTGGAGACAGATAAGATAGTGTGATAATTTTAGAGGTTATGAAGGGTGTAGCAAGATTACTGAAATTAAAAATTGATAAGATGGGTTACGAAATAATTTAACAGCATTTGAAGAGTTTAAATAAGTTAAAAGAATTAAGTGAATAGAAACGTATGAGTGAAGGAATTGTTTTGGTGTACATAAAATAGGAATTAGTTAAGGGAAGACCACAGACAAAAAATAATGACAGAAATAATTTACCAAGTTAGTGATAAGTTTATTACTGTCTCTCTGGATACATAAATCAGGTTTGAATTTCTTTATGATGAATTCAAATTATTCTGCATCGCTTGTTCTGGTTGGAATCAAATTCATAAAGGGGACCAATTGCACGAAATTTCCTTAGTGTTCATTTGATAAACTACGAGAAAAACCAAAATGGTCCTCTTAATGCACTTTATTTGTTCTGTGATCCCAGCGATCACCATATCTACTTTCTTTTTTTACATCTTCCAAATGACAGGTTGTTTTATGAGGTAAGCGACATAACGACAGAACCTTTCCAAAAATACCGTTACCAAAAGCGAAAATAAGGTAGGGTATTGCATTATGCGTGAACTCAATTAGTGAAGGAATAATTTGTATGATTTATCTGGTTTTTGATTATTATTATTATTAACTGGGCAGAATAAGTGGAATATTTCAGCTTGCTAAATGTAATTTTAACACTAGATGACTATTTTTAAAGTACCAGTTAGATTAAATTATTCACGCATGAAAATAACTTCAGCGTTTAAATGATACGTCAGTTTAAGTCATATACTCACTAGGTATTTGTAGATTTTATGCAACAATAACTCTGATGTAGCTGATTTCGTTCGACTTTTTTAATTTGTTGCGTCTGCCTGATATATTTCAATTTGTCTGGCCCCCCGTTAGCTTTTTCACAACTAAATAGTAATAACGACTTTATTCAATACTGCGAGCCAAGAATTTTCAGGATTAAATTACATGATACCTATTAAAGATTTCATCATAGTGTCTATAGACCTTAAACGACAAAGTAACTGATCAGTATTTTTTTCTCTCGATAGTTCCCAAATTCTTTATAGTTTTAACACTGCAATCATTAGACAGTTTTAGGCATTACATTTCAAGTAGTATACAGCCTTTGTAATTTTTACTTTATATAGTGAGTGGAAAACAGGTTGTAAGATACAAAATGGACGGTACTGAAACTCTATAGGTTTTACCAGCATGGACGGGAGTGATTTTCCAAGGCTTTAATTTCAATAAACTACGGTATCTATCAACTTCAGGCTGATTCTTATGACTTAATAAGTCTAACTTTCATAATACTTTATGCAGAAGTGAACAGTCAAATGAAGGATTTTCTCTAATTTATGATATGTATTATGGTTTACGAGTTTATAACTTCGATAAAAGGTCAATGTAGCTACTAAATTTTATAAAATGGTCGGTGGGCGTTGAAACGTAATGACGTTATGAACTTATATTGGATGACTCTGCAAATAATTCCGATATGAACGAAGTATCAGTTGATTAAATGCTTTGATAACTTTTGAAGTAGTTTTCAGTAAATATCACTACATATGAAACAAGATGGAACGACTGCTTTGCTCTTTTCTGAAACCTATTAGCATTGTAAGAAGAAGCCAGAATCTCTCAACTCTGCGACAAACAAATGATATCTTAATCACCGTTCATTTAGAGTTTCCAATTTTAACTACTAAGATTTTATCCGTAACTTATCTCCCATTCCCGTCCTTTTTATTACGAGATCGCGGAATATGTGTTTTACCTAAGAAGTGAATTTGTTCTAGCTTTATCTGAAAAATAAATAAGAGGGAGTATTAAAAACAAAAAAAATATGTTTAAAATCAAAGATATATAAGGTAGAAATATTGTATTCAATAGCATAAAATATAAATTTCGAATTTTTTTTAACCTTGCTATATATAAAATATTATGCGGTACTTACAATTTGAAGGCTGTTTTAATAATTCCAATTGAAATTTGCTAAATTCTAGTCCAGTCAAAGAGTGACAATTGAAGCAGCGTCGTGTAAGAGGAGAGCCAAAATCAAGTCCCTGTTAGAAGAAAAAAAGTTTAAATATATGAAAGGGTCATTTTGGGGAAAAATCAGATACAAAGCACCATTAATTGGCACTAACAATTTACTGAACAGGAAGCCAAACCTAACACGTTCCAACGAAGATCCACGTTACACAAGTGCACCTAATACTCTTGTAGAGCTTAAAAATACAAATGAAATCATTAGTAACAAAATATATTATCAGTGGCAACCATCGGATCGATAATGAAAATATTGAGCTAATTAGAAATGGCTTCTTCAAATACAAAGGAAAGTGAGTAGCTGAAGTGTGATACACTGATAAACCCTACTGGGCTAATAATTGCTTAATATTATGTGTGCGGTCGGTGACCAACAATGGGTTCATACGCCATCTGTTTCCTCAAGATCCTATAGCCCATTTGTACGACTGGTTTGGAATCAGGGTTTTCCAACTCACTTAGGTGGATCCCCCGTACACACCAATCCGGTTCAAGAGATAGACATTTACTCTCCCTCTTCTAAATTTTGTAAACAACACCCTCGCCTCGAGAAAGCAAAGAGTAAGACTTCCCTGGCAGTGCCTATATTCGCGTGGACATATGGAAGCATTTCAAGAGGAAGAACAGGTTCTCGCCCTTGGCCAAACGAGGGCGTTTTGAGGCTCTAGCATAAGACTCCTCAATAGTTCACAACTACGATCTCCCTAGGATCTTTAGGTATCGGGACGAGCACTTAGCCTTCATACCACTGAGTGGATATCCAGTGGTTTGTTTCTGTAAGTAAAATCAATCTGCGATACTGCGCAACCAACGTTCAACTGGATTGGTGGATAACCGCCTCGCTCCCTACACGATTGAACTCCTCTAGTCGCGGCTTCTCACCAAGACTCCAGAAACCACTTCTAGAAATTAGTCACCGATAAGCGGGGCGATTACTAATATTGAGTATGGTTTTGTGAATTCTCTCCCTGAAGGAATAGTGCATACGAACTGCAGAGTAGTTCACACTACAATTGTTCACTTTCACACCTACTCGTATACACATAAATACACAAAAATACCCTTCATCTTTGATCTGAATAACATATTATGTTGTGGTTCAACATTCATGTATCAAAGTTTTAATTCTTTGTTCCTTGTACTAATTAAACATGCATCAGTTTGCAAAAGGTTATTTGTTCTCTGACAAAACGAGGTACCCTGAGTGGTGGGATACTAGAAGTTCAATTTTCTACTCATTTAAATATTACAGTCAGATTATTTTTGTCAAAATAAAAAACTTGCGACAAAATGTTTAATGTTATAATAACCTCTGAACCAATCTAATGAGTTCAAGAAAAGTACTTCCTTTCAGTGTTCGAAAGAGTTATATTGAGAAATATTCCATAGTACATACTACTTTGTTGTGTAGAACTTTACAAGCTATTCTTATGATAGACATAATGAGGAATAAAAAATCAGCACAAAAAACTCACAGTAACTAGCACTGAATTGAAACATCCGGTACATAAAATAATGCCATCAGACTGTTTCGGTGGAACATCATCAGCAATACAACCTTCTAAATGTAGAGTCCCAACATTGTTGTCAAATGCATGGGCTAGACTAGACTGGAAAAGTAAACTGAATTTTTGATGGCAACGTGCACAATTAGTTGTGTATGGTGGGAGTGAACGTAAAAGTCTACACGCTGTATTAGGATCATTAAAATTATTCATAGCTCGCGCCCCATGAAAAGTGAAAAGCCACTGGAAAGATAAGCGACAACGCGTACAATGTAGAGAAACAGAAAGTCGACGTTGTATGTATGTTCCTGCTTTACCGAATAGCCTAAGACCGCTCATTAATAATTTCTGCGTACCAGGAGTGGTTAGTGAAGAAGAACCATGGAGATTTCCACATGAAACTTGCGATTCACCATCATATGGGGTTTTAACATCTTCACACCCAGAACCAGGATCATTAACATCCTCATCAGTGCTGCTAGATTCTAACACCGATTCACTAGTTTGTGAACTAACATTATTATCACTCCCAATTGACGACTGGTCCCCGTTATGTGAATTTTGATCACCATTGTGTGTCTCTTCTGATTCGTCTTTCAGTATAACAGGAGGAATTAAACCAATCATAATATCATGATCTAATATTGAGTCAGTTGGAAAATCATTCTCAGTTGTCGGGTTACGTATATTAAATACAATTCCTTTATCTGAATGGATTGAAGAGTTATTATAACCTCTATTTATGCTAGGTATTTCACTTTCCAATAGGGTTTTACCACTTTCAACAGCTGATAGATTACTATCAGAATATGAATTAGGGTTAAATGATTTAAGATCTAAGATTTCCTTATCAAGCAAAACAGGAGTCGAACCAGTTGCATTATCATAACTTGACGGCGAATTTCTGTCATTATCCTTATTATTTGACTGGCAGAGAGAAATAACATCAGCATTGTTTTTAGTTAACAATGGAGATAAATCTGAATCCAGTTTTTTATTTTCTAAAAACGCTTTATACTTGAGAAAATAAAAAGAAACAATAATTAAAATAATTATGACTATCCAATAAAAAAGGAATCTACACATTTATATGAAATTTTAAGAAAATAGATACCTAGTATGATACATGAAATATACTGCAAGCTATTTATGATAAAATAATATTTTGTTACGAAATAAGATTGTGCGAACGATTTTTGTACACCATTCAACACTGAAAGATCTACATACGAGTATAACTGAAAAATAAAGACACAATGCATAACAAAATAGCTCATTGGACTATATGAAGCAAGAACAGCTAAGCTTATTACATCAGTTAAATTAGTTGGATTTAAATGTAATAAGCGACAATTTCATGAAGCGCCTCTGTATATAGCCAAAATATCTTGTATACAGTAAAATAAATGCATTCATTTTTTGTATCGCCACAACGTGAAAGAAGAACGGATAAAAGATATTTATCATCATTAGCAGTTTGAAATTGTCAATAAGTGAAAAAAATACAGAAACATTTTAATCACTTTTCTCTATTATTTTGATGAAGCAATTAGGATTAAAAGGTGGATCGACAGTAAAAACAATTCTTTTTTATTTATTGACAAATACAAACTAAACTTCACCCGTAGCTCTTCTAGGACTACTGCCTTTCCCAAGCCCAGCTAAAGGAGGAGTGTTGGGCATAGGGTCGACAATCCCATCCCGTAGAAAACAACCTTGCTAAAAAACGCTAACCAGAATAGACAATTTAAACCATTTAAATACTGCCCTGGAATTTAAGGGAAGAATAATCACGCATCATGATAAAAACCGAGATTCTTTGGAAATCACGAGGTTAATGCCTCTTTTTACAATCACAACAACAATTTTTATGGGTACATTGAACTTCCGGACAATACAAGAGATCTAGAGTACCAATTAAATAGCTGAGGAAATGAGAAGGCACAATATGGTGGTTCTCGGAATCAGTGACACTCATTGGACTCAAGCTAGACACTAAAGGTTAAGTACGGGGGGGATGCTGCTGTACTCCGGTCACGAAGAGGAAAATGCTCCACACACTCAGGGTGTTGCTCTAATGGTGTTCAAAGAAGCACGAAATGCGTTTATGGGATGGAAGTCTCATAGACCCAGGATCATCAAAGCCTCCTTCAAAACAAAAGGAGGGAGTCACAATGAATGTTATCCAATGTTATGCACCCAACAATGATAGCGATGAGGACGATGAAGATCAGTTTTATGAGAGGCTGCAGTCAATCATAATGAAGTACCCAATAAACGACCTAACATTTCTGATGAACGATCTAAACGCCAAAGTCGGAATGGAAAACAACGGTTATGAAGATATCATGGGACGACATGGACTAGGAGAAAAGAATGAGAATGGGGAGAGCTTCACAAATCTATGTGCATTAAACAAACTGGTTATAAGAAGCACAATATTTCCACACAAACGCATACACAAAGCTGCATCGATCTCACCGGATCGCACTGCACAGAACCAGATAGATCATATTTGCATCACCAAAAAGTTCACAAGGTCAGTGGAAAACTTGAGAACCTTAAGAGGAGGTGACATAGTTTCAGATCATCACCTCGTGGTTGCCAAGATGAAACTGAAGCTAAAGAGGCATTGGAAAACTGGACAAACAGCATTACGAATGATCAATACATCCTTCCTTCGAGATATTGACGAACTGAACGAATTCATGATAACTCTCAACAACAGGTTCCAAGCTTTACAGGATTTACTGTAAGAAGCAGAAACTACTATGGAGGACAACTAGGAAGGAATCAATCACTGAAATTCAAGGAAAGAAAGGTTCTCAACAGAGTATGGTTGAATCGGATGAAAAATTCAGTAGACGCCCAACTTCGATGTCAGAAGGCTGGACTCCGTAGGTATCGATCGTGCACAGACTAAATTAATTGAATGGAACTCGTCACTATACATCAACTTCATCAAATATGAGAAGGCGTTTGACGGTGTGGACAGGAGAACATGATGGAAACTTCTTCGACTCTATGGTATGAGTAGTTGAGAAGATTGTAAAGATTATCCGGGACTCATACGACAGACTACAGTGCGAAGTGGTGCATGGAGGACAGCTGATGGACGCATTTCTAGTGAGAACCGGTGTTCGACTGGCCCTCTTACTCTCACTATTTCTCATTCTTCTAGTGATTGACTGGATTATGAAGACCGCGACATCTTAGGGGAAGCACGGAATGAAATGGACAAGTTGGATGCAATTAGACGGTTTGGACTTCGCAAATGACCTGAGCCTTCTATCTCATACACATCAGCAAATACAGGTCAAGACAACCAGTGTAGCAGCAACCTCTGTAGTAGTAGACCTCAACATATACAAGGAAAAAAGCGAGGCCCTCAAGTACATACAACACGGAGAACATCAACACAATCACACTTGGTGGGGAAACTCAAGATACTCCATTGGTCGAACACTAACAGCAACAACCTACTGTAGGAGAGAACAAACCAGCTTCAAGCTGATGAGGAGATTGTGAAAAAATGCTGGAAGTGGATGGGACACACATTGAGGAAATCATCAAACTGCATCTAAAGCCATCGCTAACTTGGTATCATGAATGGAAACGGAAAAGAGGAAGACCAAAGAACACATTACTTCGGGAACCGGAAACAAACATAAAAGGGACAAATGGGGACTGGAAAAAATTGGACAGGACTGCCCAGGACAGAGTTGGATGAAGAATGCTGGTGAGCGGCTCATGCTCCTCCACGATGGGGAAACAGGTGTAAGTAAATACAAACTTCTAATTATAATGACTATAATCACTGATTTTGAATCTTTTTGGAAATATGTTGTCAGTATGTTATGCCTGAAACTAAATCGATTCCGCGGTAACGAACGAAAACCAAATGACACAATGACACGATAAGCTATTCTAATCTGTTGTCCCAGGCCCCGCTAACTAGATGAAGAAGTCCAAGGCAAGTAGGGGAATATATATGTATTCCGTAAGCAGCCGAGTACAAGCAATCAAATAAGGGAAAAAGTCAAGCGCATTTATACAGTAACAAATTGTCCTTGAGCACCATTAGTAAATAGCACACATAAAGAAACAAAGGACCAATAGCGGTTAAGATAGTTTACAGGTGGGAAATATGACGTGAAGGTAAAAGAGCGCTTTTGGCGCGAAAACAGCTAAATTCAAATTTTCAAAATAAAACTACAAGATTAGGCCATTTACCAAGTAAGTTCTGGGGATTTGACATCCCCAACACCTCCCCTTTTTAGTAACGGACATTCTTTGGGTCCACCTGCATTCTAACTGTCTGTCGCCGTTGGCGCAGTGACCATCTTCGGGACCGTAGATCGACCTTTTGATCTTCTTCATGCGTTGGGACTGCCGGCAGATTAAATGTATCCAATAGTACGTCCAGCGGAATCTTTACTTCGGTCGATGGGCGCTCTGGTGTTAACCGCTTGCGTAGTTGATTTCGATGTCTGGTCCATCTGTCCGTTCCTACCTCAACCTCATACATAACTTCTCCCATCCGTCTAACCACACGTGCTTCGATCCAAGGGTCACGATTTGCTCTGTAGTCCCGAGCGAATACTGGGCATCCAACGTTGTACGTGGGTAGCTTCCGGGACGTGGTTTGTATTAGTGGTGGTGTGGATTTCGGCAGCATCAAGTTGTGAATGGTCCTCAGCCGTCTTCCCATGAGGATCTCTGCGGGGGACTTCTGCTCCGGCAGCGTGTCGTTGGGGGTCGTTCTGTAGGCAAATAAAAAATTCTGCAGTGTTTCCACTGGCGTCCCCTCCCCTTTTGACTTAATCAGAGCCCTCTTGAACGTATCCACGAACCTTTCCGCTTGCCCATTCGATTGTGGGTGGTAAGGTGGGGCGCGAAGATGCCTGATGGTTAGGCGTTTGCAGAACTCTTGGAACTGCGCCGAGGCGAACTGCGAACCGTTGTCGGATACAATCACTTCCGGTAATCCGTTTCGTGCGAACAACTCAGTCAAATGTTTCAGAGTCTGGGTGGTCGTTGGTGGAGTGACGGGAACAATCTCCGGCCATTTTGAGAAGGCGTCGACCACGATAAGATATGTGGTTCCGTTGACTGGACCGGCAAAGTCGATATGTATCCTAGACCAGGGATGCTCAGGCTGTGGCCATGGGACCGGCGGTACCTTCGCATTGGACTTTGCAGCTTGTTGACACTGAGCACATTTGTTTACTAGATCCACGATATGCTGGTCCATGAGGGGCCAGTAAGCATAGCTTCTGGCGATGGGTTTCATACGCTTTATGCCTGGATGACCAATGTGGAATTGCTTCAGCACCCTCGGTCGTAGGGATTCTGGCACGACCACTCTATCTCCAAACATCAAGCATTCATTTACGACACATAATGAGTCACGACGATGGTAAAGCTGCTTCATGTCACCGTCAAGTTCAGTTGATGGCCAGCCATTGGTGACGTAGTTCATCGTTTTCTTAATGACGGGGTCGTTTCTGGAAGCAATTTGTATCTCAGATTCTAAGACTGGCAAAGCACGAACAGCGGTTGTCAGGTAGCATTGCGCGTGGTCTTCTGTCGAAAAAGAAGCGATAACGGCATCTTCATCGGTCGTAGAGTGTTCGTTGATGAGTCGTGACAATGCGTCTGCTTGACCAAATTGTTTGGTGCGTCGATACTGAATGTCAAAATCATACCCCAAGAGGATCAAAGCCCATCGTTGGAGACGGTTTGCAGAGTGGGCCGGGACGCCAGATTTCGAACCAAAAATTGCGAGAAGGGGCTTGTGATCCGTAAGGAGTGTGAACCTCCGACCGTACAAAAATTTGTGGAACCGCCGCACCGCAAACACCAGGGCGAGAGCCTCCTTCTCTATCTGACTATACTTCCTTTCTGCCGGGGTCAGTGTTCGGGATGCGTGCATGACAGCCTTCTCTGTTGCGTCTGGAAACTGATGAGAAATGACGGCTCCTACGCCATACGCTGAGGCATCTGCAGCTACAATGATTGGCATGCATGGATCGTAGTGCGTTAATAACAATTTCGAGCTGATGATGGACTTCAGTTTACAGAATGCTGCGTCACACTCTTTAGTCCAGTTCCACGTACTGTTCTTGCTCAGTAGGCCATTCAGTGGGGCACGAATGTCATGCATTGAAGGGACGAACGCGGCATAGTAAGAGACCAGTCCCATGAAGGAACGCAGTGCGGAGATATTCGTGGGTGTGGGCATCTGTCGTATCGCTTGGACATTTTCAGGACCCGGTCTGCGGCCGTCAGCATCAAAAATAAACCCCAAATACTTTACGGACCGTAATAAAAACTGGCATTTCTCAGGTCGTAACCGGAACCCGTTTTCACTAATGCGTTTCAGTACCGATGTCGTTCGCTCATGTAGCTGTTCTAACGTTGCGGCAACAATTAGAATGTCGTCAAGGTAAGCCGCGACTCCCGGGATGCCCGATAAGATAGTATCCATTAATTGTTGGAAAATAGATGGTGCAGTCTTGACACCGAATGGTAAACGGTTGTACTGAAATAACCCACGGTGAGTGTTGATAGTAAGCAGCTCCCTAGATGCTTCGTCTACTTCAACTTGCAAATAAGCATCAGCAAGATCCAGTTTTGCGAAGAATTTTCCCCCATTCAGCATCGTAAACAAATCTGCCGGAACTGGTAAGGGATAGTGGTGTTGTTCAAGGGCTGCATTTAGACCTGTAGAAAAATCAGCACATATTCGTAAGGTGCCGTTTGCTTTCTTGATGACCACTATCGGTGCTGCCCAGGCGGAGTAAGAAACGGGAGTAATTACTCCTTGTTGTTGGAGGCGGTTTAATTCTTCATCTACTGTTGGTAACGTCGCATAAGGCACGGGTCTTTTGGGACGAAAGACAGGCTTAGCTCCAGGTTTCAAACGAAGCGTTGCTTTTAAGGTAGAACACTGTCCCAAACCAGGCTGGAAAATCGATGAAAACTGCGCCATTAGCTTCCTGGTATACGATTCAGTGCCATGAGGTTGTGATATCATGTGGCATATGGTATTTAGTGGGACATCAGCCAATTTCAGTTGATCGAACCAATCTAAACCAAGTAAATTTAGATCAGCTGGAGTTATATGACATACCCCGGTAAATGACGACTCCCGGAAGGTCACTCTACATTCCAATTGTCCTTCTAAGTGTAGGAAATTACCACATGCGGTACGAGGCTTTTTAGTTGTTCGCTGCAGGCTTGGGCGACCCATTTTGATCCAATTTTTGTGAGAGAGGATGGTGACGTCTGATGCGGTATCTATTTGCAATCTAAAAAAATGTCCATTAATATTAATGTTAATGAATTTCCTCTCACCTGGTGATGAACTCTGACAAGAAGATACCAAGCTCAAAGAAGAGGTACAGGGCTTTGGAACCGTCTTTTTGGTATTACTGGATCGATTTGGTGTGCTCTTAAGGCAAAACCCGTCCTTGTGGCCAACAACCTTGCACTTCCTGCATCGATGTTGCTTAAATGGGCAATTCCTTACGTAGTGCCATGCACCACAATGCCAGCAAGGAGTGGAGGGATTTGTTCTGGTCTGTCGAATTGGGCTGAAATGAGTTGGACTGAATGCAGCGGGAGCGCACTGATTCTGGTTAGTTGTCTTTTGGATTACTCGTACTTCCGATCGACTAGACCCACCACTCTCAACCATCGACGTGTCTCGTTGTAGATTTACTAGGCGTTGATATTCATTAGCCATGTCATTTAGTGTGAGTTTTGGATCTTGGTCCAATCGACATAGTAGTCGCGTTCTTATGTCACTGAACTTCTGGGACTGAAGGCTGCAAATGAGGATAAGGGCTTTGAACTGGTCTTCAGATAAAGACTTTAACCGGAACCGTTCGCATTCACGGTTAACGATGCCCACATGCGTAAGGAAGTCATCGTCTTCGTTCATAACCAGCTTCAAACATCGGTAACGGGTGTTAAACAATGATGAATTGTCCCCAAAATGTAGGCTTAGTGTCTGGACTGTGTCTGCGAAAGAGCGATCACGTGGATTCAATGGCAGGATCAAATTGCAGTACCTGTCCAGCTCACTTGCACCCAACTTCCGAAGTAGCAGTCGTACCTTCCAAGCATCATCTTGATTAGCAAAATCAAATTTAAATAGGTCTTCATAACGCCGGAACCACATGTCAAAAGTAACGTTTGCATCAGGATCATAATGAAACTCAGCAATACTATTTGCGACGCCGTCTACTGATGGTGCTGTGGTTGCATTAGCTGTGCTAGGCTGTGAAGGGGGCGAAACTTTCATGTCTGTCAGCATTTGTATGAGCTTCAGCTGCTGTTCAAGTAATGATTCGAGTTTAGAAGGATCCATGTTTCCAAACCACCGTCGCCAATTGTTATGCCTGAAACTAAATCGATTCCGCGGTAACGAACGAAAACCAAATGACACAATGACACGATAAGCTATTCTAATCTGTTGTCCCAGGCCCCGCTAACTAGATGAAGAAGTCCAAGGCAAGTAGGGGAATATATATGTATTCCGTAAGCAGCCGAGTACAAGCAATCAAATAAGGGAAAAAGTCAAGCGCATTTATACAGTAACAAATTGTCCTTGAGCACCATTAGTAAATAGCACACATAAAGAAACAAAGGACCAATAGCGGTTAAGATAGTTTACAGGTGGGAAATATGACGTGAAGGTAAAAGAGCGCTTTTGGCGCGAAAACAGCTAAATTCAAATTTTCAAAATAAAACTACAAGATTAGGCCATTTACCAAGTAAGTTCTGGGGATTTGACATCCCCAACACAGTATAAAAGCTGAACAACTGAAATATTGTTGGCTGGTACCATGTGACTTTGATATCATTTCACCATCTACTTATTACAACTTGTTTGATCGCGTATATAAATATGGGGTACATCTTATCGTTTGACCTAATTCACATACATGGTTATCGAGAGTTGTGGATACTGATCATGTGTTTAATGAACTAATATACACAGTTTGATTTCATGCTGCCAGCATATTAGTTAAGGCATTTTAAGTGGTTGGTTCGGTTTTGTGCGCTGCTTAGTTAACACGCTGAAGATTCCATCGTTCCACTTACTAGGTCATCGTACGTTTTTATACGCAATTTAAAAGTTAACCTAACGTTTAATTTTCGAAAAAAATAACAAACAAACTGTTGGAGATTAACAGAAGACCCATGATTTTTTGATAACACTATTATCACCGTGATGTTGACAAGAAATAACATATTACATATTATTATTGCTCCGTATTTTGAAGCGAGTTTAGTGACAACCCCGGAACTGGTGAGTGATTTCTGAACATTGTACATGAGTAAACCTATGATATTGGAAACACTTGTTAACACAGGTAATTGACAATAGCCACACTTTGGTTGGTCGATATTGACAGAAATCTGGTTAATTTTTCTGAGTCTGATAGTCTGAATTGATGGTTTTACTCCAATGCAATAAGTAAAGATTTTGCAAAATCGTTGAAAATATACGTCAAACCTATCTTGAGGTAAAAGTTACAAAATACTCAAATAGCAAACAGATTTCATATTCGAGTGAGATATTAGATAAAATTTAAAGTTCTTATTTGATTGTCAGCTCCTAACCCCATGGTAGAAAGAATAGTAATAGGGTTAAAATAGAAAAATAAATCTGAGTATGTTAGGCCTTCTTCTGACATCCTCATTCGTAATTCACGCATTGAAACCAATCGACTGACTAGTTTACAAGTACAATGACAGTTCTTCTGCTAATGCTATCCATAACAAGATTTAAAAGATAATCTAAGTTTAAAACATTGGACACAAGTATGCAAAGTAACGCCTGTTTCGTAATTAACATAAAAACGAACTTACTTTACGTAATCCTTCAGTGAATAATTCTCCCAAGTTACGATCAAGCCACAAAAGGAGAGGACGTAGGTATAGCTCTAGACGATTCATTCGTTCCATACATTGGTGCTTGCATCTAACCCAAGAACCGATTGCTTTATTCAAATGGCTGAGTAAAAACAATATATGAACGGATATAAATGTATACGGTCACTAGAAATGATGCAAATTACTATTAAAAAAATGAGATAAACACTTACTCAACTAAGATAACGGGTAAATGTTCTTGCATTACCACTGAAATTCGAAGTTGTTCTTTGGGATACATTTGTGGGATGAGAATATTCAACACTATCTCACGAACATCGTAGACCTAGAATACGAGTAGAAACAGTATTCTATCAGATAATGTCACGGTGAGCTATTTTTCCAAGTCACATCATATGTAAACGACCTCAAGAAGAAGTTACAACAATACGAACTCGAATAACAAAAAGCAAAATTACAAAGCAGTTGCTACGTCGAACTGTTTAATTCTCAAAAACAAAACAAGTATGAACCCTGCTCAACCAGTTTTGGTTAGAATATTCAGATAATATCACTAGCCTTCACTTTAAAGTGTGCAACTTAAAGTCGAGTAGGTAAATTCTTAAGTTGCAAATGACTCAAATCATTAACCATCTAGATTAGGAACAAAGAATCGGCGGTTTCCTGTAGCCGGTGCTTTGGTTATAAAAACTTCGTGTCAGTAAATGTACGTACACAACTACATTAGTATGCATTAAAAGGAATTTATTTATCGGTCTAAACTGCAATATTTTTTAATACAGATGAAAACAAGCATAAAAAATGGAAGTTAGCTATTTTAAACTGTAGTGGATGTAATCAGCAGGCTGCACACAATTTTAAAGTATGCAGATGGTATAATGGATGTAAACTGACGCTGACTGTCAGGTCTTGATATTACGGGCTGAACTAGAAAATGCTTCAAAGGGTTTTTGATTACGATCCTTTTCGTGTACGTATGTGTACATAAGTGTCACCTTATTCAACAAAAATCAAGCTGTTTTCCAACGAACTGTACTGTCTCTTGAAATCTATATATTCCAAGGCTTATGTCAGAAACTGGGTTTTGTGAATAACCGTCGGTTGACTACGTTGCGAATCTAAACAGAAAGAAGACTACATATACAAAGTCGTAAAATATTGTACATCCAGTGCAATAAATTATTGACCATTTTTCGTACCAGTTATCTTGTTTCCTCAAATGCCCTGAAACGGCCGAGAGGGGAGAATTCGCTCTCCCTCTCGAAATGCTCTCACATGGCCACGCGTATATAGCTTCTGCCAGGGAAGTCCTACTCACTACCTTCTCGCACCAGGGTATTGTTTACAAAATTGAGAGGACGAAAAGCGAACGTCCAGCGCTTTAACCGGGTTGGTGGACACGGAAAGTTCACCTAGGGGAGTTGGAAAACCCAGATTCGAAACCAGTGGTGCACATGGGCTCCAGTATCCTGAGGGAGAAAATGGCGTATGAATCAATCGTTGGTCACCGGCTACCATAGGACTGCATCTCTTCACGACGCCCCACTGCGTTGTGGATCATACCTTTAGGTCAAAGGCTCCGGGTGTGGCCCCCTGAGAAAACCACCTGCTTCAGTTTGGGCACCTGAGCAGTATAACAGCCCTCACGCAAATCAAATGAGATTTGTGCGGCGCATATATATCTGGTGCCCTATTGTACCAATATTTGTGTTTAAATAAATAAATACCTGCAATATAACTCACGTTAAAGTTTCTGCATATAAATAAGATTAGTCTTTTGAATAACCACAAACAATTTTATTTCCCGTATTAAAGTGAAGTTTAGTTCATGTGCACTGGCTGAACTCGTTCATAGATAATTCATTTAATCAACCAACGACACAAAAGCAAAAATATTACCAAATATTTGAGTGTCGTCACATCGACTTTCAGAAACGATAGCTTTCATTGCACGACATTTTTAAATGCCACTTCCTCCGATTTACAATACTTGATTTAAACTGTATTACTAACCTTAATAATGATTGGATTTGTCCGTAACTAACTATAGTCGTTGTATTCGTATAACTAGTTGAGGGAGGGATAATTTACCTCATATAAAACTCCGTTATAGAGCCTATATGCTGTAAGACTATATCAGATGCTAGAGGTGTTCGATAATAGAGATAACCCAACTTTTTTCTAACAACAAATGTGGAAGAATTTCATATGCCAACTAATTAGTATTTTTTGCATACTTATCACTCTGATCCTAGAAATATAGAGTTATTTCATACTATTCATTCGATAAAGTTCGATAAAGTTTCTTCAAAAACTCTAACAGGTAAAATCTCAAAGTAAAAAACAAATTTTATATGATATACAGTAACAATATATTTCGGAAATAAAGATTAGGTAATCAGAAAGACGTATAGATCGCATGTGTTGTACACAACAGCACTCAGGAAATGAATAAAACAACCGTGACATTACCTTGAGTAATCAATGCGAAATGAGAGAAATAATATGTGCACGTTCAAGATAGAATTTGTAAGATTCCCGATTTTATCAGGTTAAAGTATAATCCAGTTGAAATATGAAAAAGAAGTATTTATCGGTACATTGAACAGTATTTCGCCTCCTAATAATTACTTTTACCAGTACTCGAAACAATAATCTAAGTTATACTGCTCTACAATACTTAATTACAATAGTAATTTACTTAGTCTTGTAGTTACATTACTTTTATCTTCGACTATCATGAAGTATATCTTAAAACAGTCTTAAAACTGACTTGATGGCGAAACAAGTCAATGATTTGCAAGTCTAAACCAAGTATTAGTTTTCGAAATAAGTAGACACCACACTACGCCCTACAAGTATATAAGATGCTCAGTGTTTATTACATGTATCCATTTATCTAAACCTTTTGACACAAGAGACAAGAATTCTTGGACCAACAGTATGGGCAAGAATGTGGTCGGAAGCACGAGATCTCGGTTTTTTGTAAAGGGACATTTTTGACCAAGTGAATTTAAATGTCGAGATGATCTCAAGTCTAAAATGGCTAGACTAGTGTATTTATTGCAATGACCATTTAAGTTTGTTTTATATTCACCATTAACAAAATGACTAACCCAATCGGGATCTGTGGAGGAGAATCTGACACAAAACATATGATAGTTTTCATTTGATTCAACTTCACATAATTTGTCTGGAGGAAATTGTTTTTTTAGGCGTTCCAACTCAGAATGATTAAGATTATAAATTTCCGCCTTTGAAGCTGCTTGAAAATCAGTCGTGTTTACAGAAGCATATTTCTGGAAGGGTGGTCTCACATAGTTACAATTGTTTCTATTAAGGCATGTAGATGACAAAGTTTTGTTTATATTAGATTTCACAACCGACGTAAGTGATGCTTCGGAAATACCATTTTCTTTGACGTGTGATATTTCATTAGTTGTAGACTCCGGAGCTTCGATATTAATGTGCACTTCTGTCACCTTTTTTGTGGCTCGATATTCTTTCAACGTAATCCCACTATTGTTTTGAACGTCGATATCATGAGAGAAACTGCACTTGTCACCATATTTACACTGATTATTTGCATAAAATAGGCAAGGCTTTTTGATTAAGTTGACAACGTTCGGTTTAACAGACGGATCATGCCAAAAATGACAATTGTATCCATAAGGGCACCAACCGTCAGAAGCAAAAGTACGACAACGAACCTTTGGGTGCGTAAAGGTGCACTCGTTCCCGTTTCTACAACAACCAGCTTGATAGTAGTAGCAAACAGGTGGAAAAGGCATCTAAAAAATTAATGAAAACAAGTATACAGATTGGACTAACTAATATATATCAGTATGAGGATTTTTGTCGAACGTAGTGTATCTAGTTAGCAGTACACGCACTGTAAGTAAGCATATTTACATATTCACAGCTAAAAAGAGCTGTCTAGATAGTTCCAAGGACTTTCTGATGCAATTGCGTTTATGCTCAGCCTCATGAATGTGGGGACTTTTTATGGTCTTTCTCAAAATCCTTTAAAAATTCGTAATTTTCTTCAATCTGAGGAAATATTGTGCACATATCCACACAAGCGAATAACGAGAAAACAGGAAGAATTCTGTTTTCGCAGTTAATGCTTTTCGCCTTTGAATTCAGTTCGTAATTCCATCTTTATTTTGCATAATGAAGGCAACGTTAAGCACCAAATGAGAAAACTGTGGACGAAACAAGATCAAACTTACGTCACGGTAAAAAAAGTCAGTTAATTTTAAGGTAGCCCGCCGTTTCGTTACAGCGACCTTGAACGGCCTGACAAGAGGCGGTCATTCTGTATTGAGTTGTCTAGGGTCTATCGGGAGTCCGCTTGATTGCACGAATATCATATTTTCTCGTATTTGAGTCGTGTTTTGCTGCATTAAATTCACGAAATCGATGCGAAAAGCGTTAGTTTGGTTTTCTGTATTTTGTAGTGTACAATTTGGCTGTTTTGTTGCTTCGTAACTTGACCTGGGATACCAACTACCTCACTGAACCTCCCCCAGGTCGTGAGCAACAAATACGTCAGGCTAATAATAAGCTACAATAAACATCATGTAACAAGCACAAACATCACCAAAATTGGCATGTGAAGGAAAAATGCTCTAAATAGATGATAAAGGACGCCATCACAAATCGGCGGCATGTAACATGTGAGCGAGAACCAGTGGCATGACTTTCCAACTATGCCGAACTTACGTGCAGCCGTCATTTGGAAAGTGATCCAAGTCCCTGATCGGATTCCTATTCATTGATTTTTAAAAGGATTTAAGTTAATGGCAATTACATGTAAACTCTCGTGGCCGATTCGTCACTTATTAAGCCTTCGGGGAAACGATTACCACACTTATCATTTATTCTAAATTATTCCACATCTTTGTTTTAAACTGTCAATATTCCATACTAGGATCCTATACTTCTGACTTCCGATTCTCTATTAATGAGCGACTTCTTCATCACTCCATAACTAATACAAAACTTAGGTTCCGGCTTATTGTGGAAATATCTGGTTGTAGTTATTATTCTGCTTGTTATTGGCTTGGGCATGATCTCGTACTAAGCTAAGTGTAAAACAGCTTTTAGAGGAAATCTTGAACTTTTAAGCCCATTCTTGACTAAATTAACGGTAGATTTTTCCACTTAATATCTAATAGTTTTATTAGACCTCATTTTGATTATGAAAAGATAGTGTTTCCTTCTTAACTCTAAAATGCTGGGAATACTCTGGAACGGTCCAAAGGGCGAATAAAAGAAGCCACTTTGAAGGCCTAAATACAAGTGTCATGGAGAGCTTCTTAAGCTGCATGATTTCTACTTATCAAACAAACGAACCACTCAATAACTAGTAGCGTACTGAACACTCATGGTCATTCCCTAAAACAGTGTCTATTACCGAGGTATGTGGTCTATGTCGATGAGTGGAGACCTACTGCAGTTGGACGGGAATGGCGTAACTCTACAAGTTGTATCTAAGCCAAAAACTCCAAATAATATCCAACGTGAACTAATCTTTTGTTGTTCTAATGCTAATCTGATGACTGTATAGCACTAACAGAGTTATTGCAGAATTATATTAGTCAGGCCAGGTTCAAGAGGCAGTGTGCGACCACTACCATATGCATCCGTCCATGACGTTCAACCTATTGCTTCTCATTGTTCGTCCGTGAAGTTGATGGAGAATAATAAACTGTTCGGTATTCAACAGTCTGGATTTCGGACGATTTGGTTAGCAGTCAATGCCATTTCGATAGCGATACGATACCTACTTTACTCAATTACGACACAAATCCGTGGGTCGGACTTGAAAGTTATGTTCGAAACATAGCAAACTGGACTGTCAGCAAACGATTTTTGTAGAATTAGTGCATTCATAGAATTCGCGGCCGAGCGAGGCAGTCCCACAAATCCCCTATAAGTTCTTCAAGGGAAGACTCAATGTTTCCTCAAGGACCCAGAACAATATTTCACTGCAATTTAATAATATCACGTTTTTTTCTTGTTAAATATACTTTGATTTCTACCTGAAGGAACTTCCAAGTAAGAAAGTTTGATTGGAAGAAGGTTATGCTATTTCACCTACAGATATTTGACTTTAATATGGTGCTTCATGTATGCGTTGTGATCAGCTGTTTTATTAATAATCTGAGGACTGCTGTCTTCCATGAAAGTATAGTCTTTTAAATAAGCGAACAACAGGACTTCGTTACTTTTTCGAAATCATTACTATTTTTTGGTAATAATGGATTAACGAGTAACATGTCTAGACATTTTTACCTGTGAATCTGTTTGAGACATGTGTGCTATTGATAAATTTGAGTTAACCAGAAGTAAACTTGCTTGCATAGCGCCGCTGACCCAATTAACAAACTTAGCGATCGGATCTCTCGAATCACTTCAATCTATTTTGTTGTTCATGTCGAATATGTCTTCCCTGGGACAACATTACTAGTGCTTTGAATATTTCTAGGTTATCAGTTCAGTTATAACCATCAACATGAATCGTTTGTTCTGTTTTTCACTTACTATTAAACCACAAATAAAATATCCATCTGTCAAATGTTCAGTTTGACACGTAATTCTAGGAGCATCGCAAGGATTTACTTGCGGGTTATATTACCTCAAACGTATTTGAAGTGCATTCAATTTCAACTGACTTTTAGTAACATAGGTTCATAACCAAACGAGCTTTGAGGTCAAACATATGGTGAATGAATATCATATACTAACCTTTGAACATTTTGACAAGATTGGAAACGGTAAACTCTTGGACACTTAATCAATACGGTATGGCTCGAACATGCAGGGATGGTCACTCTATGTAAGTTCTCGGTCCATATATCAAATACTTTACTCTATCCTCAGCCTACATGCATTCTCCAAAAACTATTACAAACATTGTCGACTGTCACGATGGGAAAAGTCATTGTACAAATTGATGTGGCCCTAACATTAGGTCATGTGGGTTAGATAATCACATCATGGCAAGTTCACAATATTGGATCAGGTATATTACTCTAGTAGTAGGGATGTGTGGACTGACGACGACCTAGATCTCAATTTATCATTTTTATAACTAACTGGAGAAACGTATACACTCTCTAATTATCATATCTACCATAACTTTCTCGATCTTTTTTTCTCATGTTAATACATTATCTTATTAGTCCATTGATTAATGCTTACATGAGTCGTTTTATTGTAATACTGATTAATATTACTACTCAACTTACAAGCCCGATTGACATTAATGACGCATTAGTTACAGCTACAACTGGCTATCATAGCACAATAACAACCTTTCGTAGTATTTTTGCAAATGTAGTACCTAATCAATGTGAATGAACATGGGCTGGAAGGTAATGTGATCACGGACTGAAAGGTTATCTGGATTTATTCTAGATCAATAAAAAAACAAAGAGAATCACACAAGTTCCAGAATTCATTGCGATAAGCCGTGTTTTATCCAGTTCTCTTGATATTCATATTATTTCTCGCCATTAATATGGTCTATATCACGTCTACTGGATGGTCTGGATTCGGAATGTAAACCAGGAGAGTTTTATTATTTCACTATTTGATCTACTATGTTTTTAGTACTTCATAAGATGTAGCATTTATTTTACCTTAGACTAATAAAATATATAGTATCATATAAACGTCACTCTCAAATTTGTCGTTGACAGAAAATTTATTTTATGGCTTCATATGAAAACATAGTACAATGAAAATGTGTGTTGTTTTTAGGCGGAGCAAAATAGATTGCACAATCAGTTAACATCTGATAGTTGTTCAGATCGTCTTGTTACACATTTATAAGTCTCACGTATCAAGATAAGTACAGTGACCTCAAATGAAAAAGCTATACGGTCATGTTCTTAACTGTAGTTTCATGAGTCATGTCTGAAATTTAAAATTTCACTGACAAGTTTTAATGTTCTACATCATCTTGCAAGTTAACCTAGCTTGCAAATATGTTAATTATTTTTATACCATTCGAATTTGACATTTATTTGAACTACCCCGGACATTTCGCGCCAAACTCATCTTACTTGTTATTATTGGGCAGGGATTATTTCAATTAACTCAATTCATCGGATGGCATGGTTCAGCTTTGCAGGCTTGGCCATCCTTGTGTGTTGTTTTTATCTCTTTTATTCATATTGAATGTATTGTTCTATCTCCAGTCTTAATGTCTTCTCGATCATATAATGGTGATTGTTCAGATGCGATGAGTCATTGTAGACAATGATGTGAATTCCGCGTAAGATCTTACAGATTAGGCAGTTACATCACGACAAATCTACAATCTTAGAATTACGTTTATTATTAGAGCAGTATTAATAACGAAGTACAAGCTTAATGGTCATTTAACTGACGTTTCAAGTAACTCAAACCCACTTATATCCTACAAACCATATTAAATTGCTGACATTTCTAAAACATTAAACATGGACTAATTCTGAACCATCAGTTGTGACAGACATCTAAATCAAAACAATCTGTTTTCACTGGCTTATCCTCGATCAACACTGTACGTGTAATCAACGGATTTAAAACCGTTTCTCTCAAAAGAATGTTGTACCTGGTATGATGCAAATAAACGCTTTAGTTGTAAAGGACGATCCAAGTCATCCACTGGAGGCTGCTCCTGGGATGGATAAGGATGTCTTATGGGGACAGTGATGGGTAGGAAGGAAAGGGTTGTTAAATGAGACGTGCGGAAGTTTTTTATTTCTTAGACAGCCGAATATTTGAAACTTTTGGGTTGGTGTTGTGGTTGAACGAGAGAACTATCGCAACTAATGTACTTCTCAATGATATGGTTTAGTTAGCAAGTAGAGACATAACTGAACAGATACAGATTTGTCTTTAAACAAATGAAGGGATGTTAGCGGGTTGCGTGAAGAAACCACACGCTAAAAATCGCTGTATGATGTTTTGCTGAACATTATTGTCATTTTTTTAGTTTCTCACATCTTGTGTTTTGACCTTTACTCAGGCCTCTTGTAGCCATATTTTGTGTAAAATCCAAACCTGAATTCCAATAGGTTTGGCTTTGGCTGAATAACTACAGTAAACTTTTAGTGACGCGCACCACAATCGAAATCAGAACAAAGCTATTGGAGTAATAACGGTCCTAAAATTAATCATATATACAAATGTGCAAATTTACCTAAACAAATATTACCACCCAGTTATTCAACCAACAATTGATACCAAAATATTATATCTAAATTACTAATGAATAACAAAGTAGTAAGAAATATATGAAAATAACCGAAAACTCCAAAAAGTAACTGCTATTCTATCCTTTCTGGATAGATCAAGAAAAATTCCGTTTAAGCGGCTGTTCTATAACACAAAGTGTTTCAAATTCTAGAAAAGTGCTCCAAATTACATCCAAAATGCACGATATCAGTCAAAAATCAAACCGCACAATCAAAGAGCGAACAGTCGATATAGCATCCGCCAGAATAATATCAATTAAAACGAATTATATACAGTTCAGTAAGAAACATAGAAACTCAATGAAAACGATAGGAAAAACGAGAAAATTAAAGGTTACAGTCTCAATTGACATCAAAAAGGTTAACAATATATGCAAATGAAGAAACCATAAAGAAGAAATTGCAAATGTATACATGAAGGGATTTTCACCTTCAAAATGGATTCTACATTTTGTGTACTTTAGTCTTCTTTGTTTTTGTATTCAGTAGTTTTCTATGGCTAATAATTTATCTCTGCTACTTAA